TTTATCAAACTTATCCACTATTAAATATACTATCATTATTTCCGATAAGTTTTCTATTGTGTAGTTTAAAATATTTAAAGTTCGAATACATTCGTTCGTTACATCAATTAAATTTAGAATAGAACTAGATGTCTCGCTAATACTCGGCTGATTCAAAAGCTTTTGTATTATAGCATTTAAAAGCTCACGTTTATTCGAATACCTATCTTCTAAAAGTTTCCAAGCTATATCGAAATTTGTATCCGAAATAGAAATAGACTGTATTATTCTCAGAGCTTCGTCCTTACAACTAGCTTTTAAATATTGCAATCTCATTGCATTACTCGAAATAGATTTGTTTTCTATTACACTAGCTTTAAACATATCTTTAAACATTATCCAATTCTCTATTTTACCATTGAATGTTGGTACCGAAAGCGTCGGTAACTTAACATCTGAAAACACATTTGAATTATTATTACTCGGCACAGGAGAAACAGAATGTTCAGAATTCATCTTATTTTTTACTACTGCTAATTTACGTTTAATCATCAATAGCAACTCATCAACAATATCATCTGGATCTTCTTTATCCTTAATAAAGTTATCCAATTTTTCGGATTTACATGTTTCGAAAATTGAATAAAATACAGATGTAAGTTCGTTAGAAATTTCGGAAGCACTTCCGCAGAGAACCCGGTAAATGTAAACATCGCCAAATTTGGCGATAATAGTTCAAACCTGGTAACCCAGCGCATTTATCCTATTCGCTTGTTCGAAGTTTGCAACCATTCCTCTTGGGTTCATTTTGTTGAATTATCACTGTCGTTGTTCGCATTTGCAGATTTATATTATTATTTTTTCTGAATTTTTTAACAACGAATGGATAGAAATATTTTCGTAGATAGATGCCGGTTCTCGGTTCGGGATGAAAGGAAGAAAATACGGCGGGAGGGGTGAATGCTAATTTGTAACACGGCTGTTCACGTTGTGTTCTTAATTATTAACAGCTCTAAGAACCAGCAATTTAAATAATTAAGTAATGCTTTTATTTTTATTGTTGGTTATTGTCATCTAAAATTAGAATAAATCAATTTTCTAGCTTAAATTTTAACAATATATTGTTAATGCTATTCTAACAATAACCTTTCAGAGGATGGCTGGTGTGACATAAATAGATGATTAAATTGAAATAAAAAATATCATCGATTATCTAAGATGACAGAATAGTTTGATGCATCACCATGGTCATCAAAATTAGCAAACACTGCTGGTGTAAGAAATATATTGTTTTTTGTATTAACTGGAATTTAAGACAAATTTTTTTCGTTTATCACGTTTAACCGGTTAATTTCAGTACATTAATACTAATTTATATTTTTCAAATGAATTTTTATTTCCGTTATAAATGCTTATATATTGTCTTATACTTAATATATTCTTTTCTGTGCTAACTTGAATTTAATACAAATTTATTTAGTATATCACGTTTAACCAGTTAGTTTTATACATGCTTATTAACTGTGAATTTTTACTACCATATGCTTAATATATTGTTTTGTCTGCTAACTTGAATTTACATGCACTAAAAATCACGTTTACAAAATATCACGTTTGCGGCTCGGCTCATCGCCGATGAAACGAGAGCTTGGCGAGTAAAAATGCTACGGCGCCAACTGGTTCTTTCCCGAAGCGCCAACGGGTTCTCTGCGGATGAAAACCCGAAATTTCATTAGTTTTGGTTTCAAATAGCTGCAACGGAACTGAATCTGAAACATCTAATGACGAAACAACTTTATCTTTATGTCGCGTCAATGAACTTTTTAACACTCTTTTTCTAGTTTTTAGAGCTTCCATATTTATTACAGTTATACTCTTCAAATTTAATAGAGATTAAAATGGGAGAGCTCACCTTCGATTCTCGACGGACCACTTGAACTGTACTCAGGAGCTGGTTGACTTTCTATTTAATAACAAAGATTATCACCAGAAAGATATTTACTTTATTATATATTTATTAATCATTTTGTTGCTGTAGAGGAACGATCTGGCTCCAAAACATTTTAAATTCTCAATCACAAAGCTGTAAGATCTGTTACAGCAAGTACACAAAAGAAAAGAATGCTCAATTCAAATTACGTAGGTCGAGAGTATAACGCGCTAGCAGCGCCTCCTGTCGGCAACTCTTAATCACTACTGAACAAGGAGCTTTCAAGACTTCTCCTGTCCAGAGCCTATATGTTGACTCAAACGAACCATCACTTTATCTGAGGTGTGATCAATTGTCCCTTTTGCAATATTTTAATATTCTATCGCAACCTGAACATCCCAGTAAGCTGTGCTTACTTGATAATGTGTGTAACACATTATTTGAAACACGTCCATCCTGTGTTCCTACCTTTCTTTTAAGAGTTCGCCCTGTCATTGAGGAACTTTCCCTCTCTGATATGCACCCCCAAGCAGTACAGAATTTTGAAATCCCACCTTGGGAAAATGTACGGATTCCGCTTCTTAATGTTTTTAAGCATCATGCGAAGACAAGCACTAACGAGATCATTTACAGACAAGTCTTCGCTGAGCACAGGCACAAATATAGCAGTTATCTTCCAGTCTATACAGATGATTCAAAGTCAAAAGATCATGTCGGAATGGCATTTGTAATTGAAGATCACATGGAGGGCAGACGCTTGAACCATGCTTTCTCTGTCTTAACATCCGAACTAACTGCGATATATTATAGTCTTTTATACGTCTCAAGGCTCTGCCACAAAAAGTTTATAGTTTATACAGACTCCTGTAGTGCGCTTAAATCATTAGAAGCTTTTTCCCATACTCAAAATCCAGTCATAGTGGATATTCTAAAGTCACATATAAACTTAACGAGTCGTGGATATGATATCCTGTACTGCTGGGTTCCCGGCCATGTGGGAATAAAAGGGAATGAGCTGGCAGATATCACAGCGAAATGTGCTGTTGATCTGTCCAGTCGCCTCATCCCTTTTGGAGACATCTGTTATGTAATCAAAGAGAAGATCCGGAAAAAATGGCAGCAACTTTGGGATGTTCAGCTTCAAAACAAGTTAAGACATGTAAAGGCTAGAATTGAGCATTGGGAATTAACTAGAAATCGTAAGGAGGAAGTTCTTTTGACTCGCCTCAGAATTGGTCACACCAGAGTGACACATAACTTTTAAAAGCCTTTTAAAAGCTGAGAATGAGCCTGTTTGTTCAAATTGTAATGTTTGTCTATCTGTTCGTCATATTTTAATTGAGTGTCCCTGTTTTAACAGTCTTCGTCAGAAATATTTTAATAGCTGCGACTTACCTCTCGACCGTTTAATCGGAAGAGAAGTCAATTGTAATATATTTTATTATTTAAAAGAGACTGGCTTTTATTATTTAATGTAATCTGTTCAGCAGATTTTGTTTTGTATTTTAATGTGTGCTTTACCATTTTATTTATATGACTCGATCCTCTGGATTTGGTACATGTAGCTTTTTTAATAATTTTTATTCATAAGTATTTCATTTCTAAATTAGGTCATCCCACCATTTGTTTGGCGCATCATAATCAGCATTGGTTTTTGTGCCAAAAAACTCACTCACTCACAGTATGCAGTATTGTTATCATTTCTCTCAGTGTAACGGAGATAATAGCCGCAGTGCATGAGGTTTGAATTTTCTAGAAAAATATTTAATTCAATATTTATTATTTAAATTGTCATGTTTCTTTGCATTCTATTATACACGAGAACATGAGTAGCAAACCGAAGAAATCGAAAACTTATCACTTCAATGAAGAATGGGAACTCGATTACTTTTTTACAATGTTGAATGATAAATGTTGTTTAATATACCTTACCTCAGCAGCTATTGCTAAAAAGGGTTATTTGAAGAGACCATTTTTTAGCTTTACATAACAAGTATCAAACAGATTATCCACCAAATTCTGAACTGAGAGAACATAAAGTTAGGGATCTTAAAACTCAATTAACAATCAACAAAGCGTTTTTAAAAAGCCAAGGCTCAAGTCACAAGCAGTAACTACTGCATCATTCAAAGTAAGCTGTCTCGTAACAAAACAATTTAAGCCATTTTCCGACGGTGAATTTGTAAAGGAATGTTTTTTAGAAATGCCACACTCACTTTTTAACGATTTTAAGAATAAGAGTGAAATTGTCGCTGCAATTCAAGAGATCTGCAATTGTTTCGAAACACAGTGATGCGACGAATTGAAAGGAGGAGTGGTAATGTAAAAGAGCAGTTATATAATGATATTAATAGATGTTCTTGTTTTTCCCTTCAGTGTGATGAATCGACTGATGTAAGTGATACGGCACAATTATTTGTTTTCGTTGGTATGGTTTTTAAGAGTTTTACATCTAAAGAAGAATTGTTGGGTATGATTTTTTTGAAGGAAAGGACTAAAGGTGTAGACATATTCAAAGCCTTTAAAAACTTGCTCAATGATTTGAAAGTACCACATTTTAAATTAGTTTCTATAACAACGGATGGCGCAGCTGCAATGATAGGTAGCTTAAATGGATTTACTATAGCCCTATGTCAAAAGGAAGATGAATTCCCTGCCTTTTTAAGCTATCACTGCATAATCAGCAGCAAGTGTTAGCTAGCAAGAGACTAAACACAAAAGAGGTAATGGGCATAGCATTTAAAATTGTTTATTCACTTCGAGGAAGTTCCATCAAACGGCGTCTGTTCCAACTGCAGCTCGATGAAGGCCAACCAGAATTATTACTACATACCGATGTCAGATGGCTAAGCAGAGGTGAATTTTTGCAGCGATTTCGTGATTTATTGCCTGAAATTATAAATTTTTTTTTCACGAACAAGATGGAAACTGTGAAAATTTAAATGATGAAACTTGGCTTAGTGATTTAGCATTTCTTACTGATTTTACTTCAATATTAAGTCATTTAAATTTAAAATTACAAGGTAAAAATAAAACAGTAATTGATATGATCATATTGATATGATCTGCATAGACGCATATAAAACAAAATTTATTTTGCTAATAGAACATCTGCAACAAAATTATCTGAATCATTTTCCAAATATGGCGAATAACCTACAAAAACATAAAAATATTAATTATACGATCGACAAATATGTCGCGGAAATCCAAAAAGTAATTGAAAATTTTGAGTTAAGATTCCAGGATTTTGAAAAAATTAAAGAAATTGTGGAAGTCATATGTTTTCCTTTTAAAAAAGATTTAAATTTGAAACGCATTAGCCAAAAAATTTCAGACATATTTCATATGGATCAAAAGGCATTAGAAAATGAAATTATAATTTTACAAACTGACTTAATCTCACACGCCCGAAAATTTGAAGAATATTTTTGGAAATATGTCAACGGAGAAAAATACCCCAGTATCACCAAATGTAGCGAATATATCTATTCTTGTTTCGGATCTACATACCTATGCGAATCGGCATTTTCAGGCTTGAAACTAACGAACACTAAACAACGTTCTATCCTGACTGATTCACATACTGAAGACGCATTATTATTATCTTTGTCAGGATATACACTTAATTATGATTCCTTGGTTAGGGACATGCAAGCACAGTCTTTCCATTGATGTTAAGGCAACAAAGTAAATCCTAAATCTGTCTTTATACGTAGCTACTTTAAATTAATAAATATCGTTAATAATTATCCATATTCTTTTTTTTCCTTTGACATGAGTTTTTAGGATCTTTAAATAATTATTTTTGTTGTTTTTTACGTAGGTAGATAATACTTAAATCTATATTTCAGTACGAGGTATGCTCAGCAAGCTATTGATAGATTAGCAAAAAGTAAACGATGTTATTTATACAGGTAGGACTCCTGGCCCAAAAAAAATATGAAAGTGAAGTATTGAAATCAAATTATCAGCCATACTGTGTATTTTTATAACAACTTTTTAATATTAACGAACAAATAGTACAGCAGCTTATACATGGCAGTAAATTAAAAAAAATTAAATTGCCTTTTAAGTTGTTTGAAAAAGTGTAGGAAAATCGAATTTTTTAGGTACTGCATGCACGGAATGCTGCTATTAAAAGTTGGGTCTAGAAATTTATTTTCTTCATGAGCATATATCTCGAAAACTTAATAAGTGATTTAAAAAATAGTTTTGAACATATCTTTTACTTATCTACTCATACCTCGCTGGACTGTACCTTATACTGAAATACAGTATATAAACATTGTATGTATTTTACACATCCCCCCTTAGATTACACCTAAGACAACAAGTCGATCGCGACACACTCTTGATAAAAGTGTCAAAAAAAATTACCTTAATGCAATGAAACACAAACATTTTAAATTCAAATGTTTGGAAAAAATTTTTTTAAAAAACCATTGTCTCGTATAGATGAAAAATAGGGGGTTCGCGGGGGGGCGTGGTCAATGACATCACAGAGGGCGGGGCCAAAGGCAACGTCATCACACTAGGAGGCGTGGTTTCGAGTGGAGTTGAGTTGTTCGTAGACTGCTGATTGAGTTGTAGACCTCCTGCTTTTCATTTAAAGTTAGTTTTTTTTAAATTTGGCAACGGAAATATGGCTCATGGCGTCCTCTAGGGACGAAAAAAGAAAATAATCTATTTTAGAAGTTTCTTTTTTTTTTTAAAAAATGTTCTATGATTCAAAATATAGGATCGAACCCTGAAACAAAATATCTGCTTTTCTGGAAAGAAATAACTGTTAAAAATATTGGAAAGAATAACATAATACTCATTAAAATTTCACACACACACACACACACACACATGGGCTTTTATCGAAAGCCTCAGCTTTCTGACACCTGAGGGTCTCTCTTCACAGTTTCACAGTCATGGGGTTTTTTTGAATACCCAGGTGCCAGCCCCTTCCCATAACTCCACTGTGAAGTCATTGACCACATTAAAAAAATAATCCATTTTGTTTTCCATTAAACATTATTTATATTGATATGCCCATAGGCTAAGGAGTGTACTCCATCCTTTAAAATATATCTTTTATCATCAAAAGCTGAAAGTGCGATTTTATTTATAGCCATGGTAAAAAGATGATGGTTCTTACTCTGAATATTATATTGTAATTCTCTGGTGAAGATAGATTTCTCTAAACAATCTCTATAATTTTTATGTTTAAGTTTCCTTTTAATAACACTTCGTTTAACTCCTTTCGCGGTTTTCTTCTCACTTTCATCCAACAGTAGAGAGTACATTTTCGCCCTCAGTCCTATAAACTCCAGTATTGGTTCGGAATTCATTTCATCTTTGAAGCATCCAATTTTCTTTTTATTATTGATATTGTATAAAGCATGAGTCTTCGGATAATCTGACATATCGTACAGATGCGTATGAAAACTCATATCTCGATATACATCTTCTGTTAAAATTTCGTACGTGAGAGAGTCTGTGTCAGTAAAAAGTAGCTTGGCTCTTTCTCCATATTGTTTTTTGATATGATTGTAATGAAAATTGTACATATGATATTTACTAAGTTCTAGTATGACAAATCCTACATATATGGGCCTGTTTAAACTAACACAGTTTTTCAACCTTTGTACTCCAACCAAATCGTTATCAAAAATTCTGAAATTATGAAAGGTTGGTGCAGCTACCAATTTTTTCGCTCTTTTTTCTGTATTGACTAATTGGACATCAACATGTTTCCTCACGTTTTCCATAGTTTTACCGTACACACACTATTGTTCATTAGTTTAAAAAAAATCTTTCTCATATCCTGTCTGTGCATTTTTACGTTGATCTGTATTAAACTGTATATAAGGTTGTAACCAAGCTTTTTGTTTAAATTTTATAATTTTGTGAACATGCATTAATTTCATACCTAAAGAGAGATATAACTGTAAATTTTTATGATAGATGACATAATTAAATTTAGGATTTAAATTAGGAACTAATTTAGTATTCGAGATAAATTTATTATTTTTCAGTACACTGACTGCATAAGGTGAAAGATGATTAGCTATTATTTTCATTTTTTCTGGAGCTAAGGGATAATCGTTATGAGCATTATGAAGTTCTTTGGGATATTCAAGGTCTACTTCCAAGATGTATCCATCCAAACTGTCTTCTGATAAAGTCAAAATCTTTTCTATGACATTCTTATGAGGTTCAACCCACTCAAAACTTCCATAGGGTAAGGGTTGACTCATAGCCCACCCGTAGAGATTGTTGTTTGCATCAAGGTATAAGATATATTTACTTTCTTTAGTTGAATCAAAATTTTTCAGATATTTATTATTTGCTACAGACTTACGCTGGGTAATCATGGACACACCTCCACGAATGCCCTGCTCTATAAATAAATGCATATTAACATCCGTTAATAATTCCAAAGCTTGATCAGTCATTTTTAAGCAGGCTTGCCAAGCTAATCCAGGTGCAGTCATCAAATGCGCACAATCTAAACTATAGTAAGTTTTACAAAGCTGTCTAAAATTTTCAAACACATCTGCTAATTGTAAAACATCACTTTTTACGTATAAATCATGATATTCACCTAAATTTTGAATATGAAAAGCTTGCCAAACAGTTTGAGCATGAATGTAATCATCCGAAGATATACTTTCACCAGTTAAAGTACTTCGAAAGTTCTCTATGGATGGTAACTGAGTATCTTTAAATTTATCAAAAGAGTTGATGTATTCATATGGATATATTCCCTTCCGTAATAATAATTTTATGTTTTGATCATTGGGAAAATTTTCTTTTAAAATCTTAAATTTTTCTTCAGGCAAGTTAGATACAAGTTTTTCCAAAGACGCGTTCATAAACTGTAAACTATCAATAAAAATTAAAGATATTCTTAGATTATTCCATTTTCTTTTAATACTGAAAGAAATATATTTTTCCATATTATTAGGTATAACATGAAACTCCCTGTTTTGAATTTTGCCGATGCCTTGCATGATTAAATGTGCATCATAGTGTTTTAAATTATGAAATACGACAGGAATTTTCTTTTGAAGTTTAAATTTCAAATTGCACTTATTGTGCAGAGCTCCTCTATACTTTCCCGTAAGATGATCGTGATCTTTTACACGATCATTATTCAAATTTTTTTTGCATAAGTAGCAATGAGTTGCATTTTTAAAATTTTGTTCATCTTGAGATGTCATGGAAAGAGGTACAATACTATATAATTTTTCGGCTATTTCCTCTTCTTCACGTAAAATATTTTGTATAAAATGGTCTACTACTGCATTTGGACCTCTATATACTGTTACAGGTTTAACGCTTTTCCCATCAGGTCCTACAATTATGTAAGCATATCCGCAAGCTTTATGATGATGTATTTTTTCTGTAAAAGACGCAGTAGCTACATCAGGTGTACAAGTGTCTATGTTTTCAATTAAAGCTTCAAAATCAGCATAAATAATGTACGGAATAGACTCTTCATATTGATAATTGGTATATTCTAATATTTTTTCTTCTTCTGATGGCATTTTAATTCTCTGTATGTTTTGATGTTGACAGTATTTTGCATGTTCTTCTAACAGGTTTTCACGGGTGAATCTATGCAAGCATCTCATGCAATAGAACATGTTTGCCATCGATGTTTTGTGAGGTTACCTAATAACCGGGACATATTTCTTATTAAGCAATAATGTTGTTTACTGTGTCATCACTGATTAAAAGTAAATTAATACAATCAGTTTCTTTTCTGTTTGAAATGTAGAGGGGAAAGACTTCTTTTTCTTCATATCCAAATACATTTATTCTAAGATTATTTAGTTTTTCAATAGATGGTATTTTTGTAATAGGAACAGGGCATTCAATATTTCCTAATTTTATTTCATGTTCATAGGGTTTATAATGATTTACTCGGTTTGCATTATTTTCTCTAGAAAGATCATATTTGTGTGCAAGTAAGCACCACACTAAACATTTTTGATCCTCATTTTGAATGTTTAAAATGGCTTTTTTCATGGCAAGTTCTTTGGGAAGAGGTATATAAACTACTAGCGGCTAAGGGATGATATCGAGCTGTGCAGAGTTCTAATTTTTCAATTTTATCTAATGTCCATCCCGAGCCATTTTGTAAAAATTCTTCAAACGATTTTTTTATCTTGTTATAGGCCTCATTCAATTGTTCTTCAACATTCTCTATTGTTAAACTTGTGAGGCAGGTAGATCTAAAATGTGGTTTAATAACCTCTTCGTCCCCATCATGTCCTATTCTAGAGAACTGTGCTGTTACTATAATGTACCATTTTAAAGCCTTTTTCTCATTGATTTCTTCCTCGAGTTTCGACATAATATTTAATTTGATATTATTTAAAAATATTTCTAGATCTTGATTAATTTCTTTGGTGGCGATAATTGTAAAAGAACTGAAGACGTTTAAGGCCGACGCTGCATGCTTCATTCGCTTGTTTAATGGATGGGGGGTTATTACTTTTCCTTTTAATACTTTGAACAGTACCATGTTGAGTACGGTTATGTTTCATTAGATCATGTTTTCTGCTAAACACGTCGTTGCATTTTTCACATGAAAAGGTATTTTTTTTAACATGAATATTTTGTATGTGTCTTCGTAAACTATCTGCTCTCGTAAACTGAGCCTGACATTCTTCACAGTGAAAGATTTTTCCCTCATGTGTTTTCGAATGACGAACTAAATTACTTTTATTGCTAAAACTTTTACCACATATGTCGCAAACCTGTGAAAGATAGAAAAGCGGCTTTCAATATGCATGCTTTCCTCATTATAAAATTACGCATTTTTAATTATCCCTCACTAAAAAAAATTTAATTACATAAATCATTTTAGAAATCGTTTAGTATTAACTCTTTACGTTTAAAGAATTTTAGTTTAGTTTAAAAATCTCTCTCTCACTACTTTTTTTCCTAATAATCACACATTGTACAACAACGACTGAAGGGAAAGAGAACCATTGAATAAATAACTATATATCTGCAAGTCACTATTAAAAAGAAAAAAAAAAATGTTACCTCTCTTGTACTTGGTTGAGGTTCCATTCTTTCAGAAGTTAGAGAGTTGAATTCCTCCTCCTGAATTCCAAAGTCGATAAACTAAGAAAAAAAAAAAAAAAAAAAAGAGAAAAAACTGTGTTAATAAAAATATTTTTTTTAGAATATTCAAAAATGATGACTGCTGTTTAAAAGTATTTGATACTTCATTCATTATCTTATAATAAATATACTTTTAAAATAAAGATTCAAAAAAGATTCAAAATAAAAGCATCTTCTCATAAAAAATAGTTCATTCATGCATTAAAAATATCATGCAACGATATACAAACTCGACTGATTTCCTTCAGACTCTTACAAATGCTTTAAAAAAATTTTTTTTGAACTCTAAACTATGTAAAAAGCAGGCTATTTTTAATTCAAATCATACTTGAAGCAAACATATAAATCATGCATTAAAAAATAGATTGATTATAATTCATTTTAAAAAAAAAGTTCATCTAGTCTGAAAAAAAAAATAATTAAAATAATATATAACAGTTCTAATACTTACGTTGGAAGAAACAGATTGGTGATCTTGTTCAAAAGCCATCGCAAAAAAATATTAAGCTCTGTGAATCAAATCAGGAAGACTTGCTCTTTTCAAGGTTGAGAAGAGAACTGACTTTTTCCATTTCTGAAACACCTTTTATAGGGATTAAAGAATGTTCTCGAAACATTTCAGATTTGTATAATCTGAACCAGGACAACAACAACATTATGATAACCCTTTCTTTCGAATACGATTTCAACTTCCATTAACCCTTATCATAACGTGAAGTCTACAACGCTTATCAAGGATCTTCCTTCACTTCTGTATGTATTGTCAAACTTGGAATAGCAACAACAACCTTAAGATAATACATTCTTTCACATATGATTATCAGAGTTTTAGAAATTTTCCATTACTCTATCATGATAAGTGGATGATGCTTTTAAGATTACCCTTATGCATATATGTATAAGTAATGTCAAACTTAAGAATACAAACTTAAGAATAACAACTCTTTCAAATAAGTTTTCAGTGATTATCAGAGTTTTCCATTAACCTATCTTACCATGATAACGCAATAATATAATGACGCCTTATAGACTGTCCTTCCCAAACAAGACAAGACAAGAATGTATTACGATAAGTGTTGATGAATTATATTGGTGAAGATATATTTTTATGTATTAATTTTAAAAATATAAGAGATTCTTTAAGGCAGAAAAAAATTGTTCATTTATTTTGTGATAGGTTTTTTGAATCGAAATGTTATGAAGATTATAAAAATGCATTAATATAAGTACAGCTATTCTATTTAAATTTCTGTGTTTGGTTGATGTTATGACTATTTTTTTTCCTTATGTTTTTAATAGAAATATATTGAAATTTTAGTTTTAATTTTAAAGCAAACGTGTATATCAAATGTTAGTAAATGGATATTGCTGTTAATTTGATATTAACTAATGAAAGAAAATTCCAAGTATATTTTATGTATAATACAGAAATTTATTCTTTGAAAATAAATGTATTGAAAGGTAAAAGCTTCTTGGTGAAATGAATGTTTTTCATAGCATTTAAAAACGATGTAAAACAAATATTGATTGTAGAGAGAAGAAAGAGTCTATATGTAAAAATAATAATTTTATTCATTTAATAAGGTTCCCATTTTCGTGGAGAACGTATATGTTTTACAGATTTAACATGCAATATTTTTTTTTTTCATATTAACATCATGATTCTGTAAATTTTCATTTTTGATATAGTCCATTGGCATGTTGATTTCAGTCAAGGCTTTTAAAAATTCGTTTTTTAGCAGGAATATTAATCTTTTTCTTTTTGGTTGTAAAAAGGATATTGAATAAGTCTATAATATTTGAATGCTTAATTTTTTCCTTATGATAAAGTACCTCGCCTTTATCATTCCACTTAAGAATATCAGGATGTCGCTTTAAAATAGCTAATGCATTTTGTGCTTTTCTTCTCATTCGTAAAGGTACACTGTCTAAGATAACAGTAGAATAATCAGTTACAGTCAGTCATCTGTTTGTCGCCGTCTGTCACAGATGAGGGGGCTTCTTCTTCCTCTTTCACTTTCTTCATCTCAGCTGAATCGTCTAAATCGTCTAAAGAATTTTGTGAGTCGTCTTTAGGAGGTTTAAAGGGTGAATTGTATTCCTTTAAGTTCAATTTCTTTTGTAAAAGTTCATAATAACGCACTAATTTCTCACGATCGTCATCTGAACTGTTTAAAATATGCATGCATCATGGCTTTATCCAATTCACTTAACTGTTTATCAGAAATGGTATGCTTTGTCATCATCTCTTCTGGAACTAACACATATTTCTTAGTGAACTCCATTGATTAGTCCTGTAAGAACACTGAGAGCAGCAGGAATCAAAACGTTTAGAAAACCTCCTTTTTGTAAAATTAATTTTCGTTTCTTCACAAGAGAAATCTTACGATTTCCTAATTTTCGTAAAGTTGTTTTATGCTTACAGAGAGAGACTTCTTTTGTTGCTCTGACAATGGAACGTTTCCTTTGAGTATGTTTAAACTACATTCGCATATAGCTTTTATGCAATTGATATTAATTTTCTTTAATAGCTGTTTCCGTAACTTTAACGGACAAATGTTTAACAGCTGTAACTGTCTTAGCTGTTTCTTGACCAGCGTCATTTTATAAAATGATGATGCATTTTATAAAGCTGTTGTTTTTATTATTTTTTAATAATGTTTCATTTGATAAACATACTGTACTTGGTTAGGTAAAATTTGGGTGCGTAAACGTAATTCTTCCGGAGTTTCACTCACTGCGCAGATCAATGAATAAATAAGAAAAAGGTTTCTTGGTTGCATCTTCATATACTTCTTGAAAAAACTTTAAATGACGCGGAAAGAGCTGTTTTCCTAAATGTACGATTTGACTGACATCTCTTTCTGTTTTTACACAAAATCAAATAGTGTGCATTTAAAGTCACTTCACGCATTTCTTTTCCCTTGTGAAAAAAGTTTTGTGTGATAAAAATAACGCTTAAATTTAAATGATGACTTCCTTTTGTAAATAAGTTAGTCAGACGTTTATCATTCCCACATTCGCTCATCAAATCGTCTATGATGAATAATGTGTTGGAACCTAAATATTCTTGATATTTAATTGGTAAACCTTCGACAAAAGTAACATTCGGTATATCATTATACAGAGGTTGGTAAATTCCATAACACCATACTACTTTATCGGGAATCGTTGAAAACATTTCCTCTTTATACTTTAACAGTTCTCGTACAAAATAGGTTTTCCCACATCCAGTGGGTCCCGAAATCACCATTGTGAAAGGATGTTGTAGCTTTGGAAATTCCATATTAAATGAGACAAGACACACATAATGTATAAAGTTTAAATGTATTTATTGATAGAAAGAAGATCTTACATGAAATTTCTTGATTACAAAATTATATACTTTAATATCATTAGATATATGTTGAGGTATGAAAGATAACAATATATCATTGAGAGATTGTCCACGACATTTACAATGTAAATAGTATATGCAATATTGACCACATACTGCTGTTACATTAGTTTGGAGAGTCATCGAATTAAAGTCCATCTGTGGAAATCGTTCTGCATACTTGGCTATCGGTCCAGGAAAATAGGATGGGTCATGTCCATAGGAATCGAAAAATTCTAAATGCTGTGGGGATGAAATGTAAAAGGCTAACCAGTGACTACCGGATTCAGATGCACGATCTACATTAGCTATAAAGCAACTTGGATATTTCTTGATCTCGATAGGGAGTCGATCACTTGCAAAAACTCCCAGAAATGCTTTTCGTGTCTTTGCATTCTGAGAGAGTGCTCTGTTTATTTCAAGGCTGTCCATTGCTTAATTAGCAAAATCGCATAGTACATGACGAGATTTTGTTATTTCAATCACGTTTTGAAATTCTGCATAGACTAGCACCGAGAGAGTCACAGAGAGAGCTTTAGCAAATTTAATTTCTACTCGCAAATTGCCTTGATGCTGTAAGTTAAAATGAGATCCATCACACATATCTGGAGTTAAATCGAAAGCATATAACACATGTCCTTTCACAAATTCTTCTCGAGATAAATAGATGCCTTTGTCGCGATTAAATCCAGAAAATAAACTGTGGTAAGCACGCACATAATGATTAGATTCGAAATCAAGGTCCATTGGTTTACATGGAACGGGTTGTCCATCTACATAAATCGATATAAAGTTGACATGATGATGGGCAAACAGAAAAGGATTCATTGAATATTGTCCATTCATTGCAGCATTTTCTACACAAGTAATAATGACTCGCTTGGGCATCAATCCTAAAAATACATTATCTTGCATAAAAGACCAACTTCCCTTAGATACTGAATATGTTTTGCATAATACTCGATCTATAGGGTATTTAGCAGAACTTTTTTCCAACGCTTTTACATGTCCGAGAGAGACTCCAGGGTTTACTTTTACTTTTCTGATAAACAAAGAAGCATGATCCAAGATCACTTTATAATCGGCATCTTTCTCAGTAGAAACTAGACAGAAAGCAGATTTACTACGCACCATTTTAATTTTCACATCAACTAAATTTAACATGAGTCGATTTTGTTGAAAAATGTCACAATGTAATTGTCCTATCAAATCCACACTTTGACTGTTTTTTATAAGTTCACCGCGAGCTTTTAGTCCAGCATCCGCATCTTGAGCTAAGACATCTATTTTATTAGGTGAAGTGTCTTGGAAAAATCCTTCGCAGGTGAGTAAACTTTTCTTTGCATCTTCCCCATAATTCAATAATGTTTCGATGAAGGCTCTATAAGGATAGGTATTTGTCGCAGATGAAATGTTTCTTTCATTTAAACTTACATCTACTTGCGAAAAGAGAGAATGTAAAAATAAATTTACAGGGGCAACCGGTTCTTTGTCTGTTAGATTGGATCCGTCTGCCTTAACTACTTTAACTTTCACGTGTATATAAGAAGCAGCTAGATCAATATAGTCTTCACCACTGCCAGAAATATTAAATTCGATAGGTCCTCCATCTCGTATATTTGCGAGAGGGTGATATTCCACAAACTGTCCTTTTTCTATAGCTGTTTGCGTAGGAGGAATGGTAAATAAATCTAATTCAGATTTGACGCAAACGGGAGAGTCTCGATGAATATACGAAGTCATACTTTTTTTTTAAGAGAAAAATATCCTGTGCTTTCACCTTCTTTGATCGGTGAGAAATGGTACGCTTTTTCCTACGTTTCTGCTTTTTATTAACTCGTCCAGAACCAATCATGTTCTTCACTTTAGTAGCAGCTTTATCTGTTAATATATTTCCGGCTTCTTTCAGTCGACGCTTAGCAGCCTCTTTTACATCTTGTCCTTGTGATACATCATTTAACAAATTCAGTCCACTATGCCATACTTGTTTTCCAATTGCTTTGGCTCCTGATTTAATAAGAGGTACGGCAGCGCGAAAGAAGGATCTGAATAGACCCCCTAATCCGTATCCTCTCTGATAAAGATTACCTTGATAATAATTCAATCCATGTCCTGTTTGTTGTACATAATAATCTTCAAAAGATTTTTGACAACACTGATAAGGTACATACATTATGACAAGTATTTTTGACGGAAATGAAGTTTCACGTATGACCTTCCTCGTTCAAATGGCGTAAATGCTCCCATATGCGTTCTTATATCGATTTCCAAAGTGTCTATCATTTTCCGATTCACAGGTAAATAATGAGGTCTATCAAATAGTGCACTCACCACTTCTCCATCGCTACCAGTTACTCTTACAATTCGAAGAAGAGGAGCTAAAACATCTCCTACGATTTGAGGTTCTACAATATCCGTATATATCATTAATACACGATAATGTGCACAGGGGTCGGCTGCAAAAGGACTTTCTACAACAGTTTCGGAACTATCATCTGTAGATGTAATTTCCATAGGTTCAAAACCTAACATTTGTGCTAACCCATCATGTAAAATCACTTTAGCGTTATTTTTCACTTTGATTTTCACTCGTTTTGTTACTGGGTTATAATTAAATATTATTTTGTTTTGATGTTCTTTAATATAAATAGCTTTTAAAATATCAGGTACTGTTTCATAACATCCTGGAGGTAATCTACGACCTAACATTTCACCATCTTTCTCTAAAACAAATCCAATTAAGTTATTGTCTGCATTCACATTGTGCCATGTGTGCGGATATAGCAATTCAACCAAACCAACTTCCCACATACCTTTTAATTCAATGGGAACAGGTAAACGTGTTATAAAATGTGAAATTTTATTTTCGGGGAAATAATTCATAGAGCTATCGCTCGGAAGTGTTACGTAGAAACTCATTTTCATAAATGATTCGGATACAGTATTTTCTCACACTTTATATCGAGAGTAAATTAGAAGCTGGAATCCATTGATTGAATTTGTCGGGATAACCGCGATATTTTACAAAGTATTCTGTCTGATTTTTATGTATACGTTTCTTTAAAATTTTTTCAATGCGATATTCCTCTTTCAGTCTCACTTTCTGCAACTCTTGTGCATAAAACGTTCCTTTTACTGAGTCTCCAAGTAAATCTTTAATTCTATACACAGCTGGATGTCTTTTAACACACTCTGTCACCACAAATAGTTCTTCCGTCCAATTGGTTTCATAGCCTTTTTCGAAAGTAAGCTTTAGTTTGGAAACACGTACCACATCTCCTACAGCGAATATACATTTAGAAACGTTAGAAGGATGATCTTTATACAAGGTAAACCATACGTCACTCTCATTTTCTGAATTGACTTCTATGGGAGCTCGCATTATACTTGAATGAAAAGTAGCATTATAACTTTCTATTAATTTGTCCAAGACATCTACATATTTATATGTATTTCGAGTCGTAAAGTATTTCCACATTTTTGTTTTCAAAGTGCGATTAAACCTTTCCACCACGGATGCTTTAGTAGTATTGAATGTACTGAAAAGTTTAACTTGATTTCTTTTTAAAAATTTTATAAACACTTTATTTTTAAATTCGGTGCCCTGATCCGTTTGAAGGAATTTTGGTTTACGTTGACTCATTATTTTTTGAAACGCTTTCACAATATCTTCTCCCCTCTTTTGTTTCAGAGGAATAGCCCATGCATATTTGGATAATATGTCAATACAGGTTAATATATATCGATAACCATCATTATGATCACGTAAATGTGAAACATCCACTAAATCAGCTTGCCATTGTTGATCTATAGAATACACGATTACTCTATTCGTTGGAAATTTTCGGCGAATTGGCTTGTGAAGCGTGTACGCATCTATTCCCTCTAACCATGTTTGAATCTCTTTCCTGGAAACTTTACCTCCTGCAGCACGATGTAAAGCTTCAACACCACCAAAACTTGCAACATGAGCCGGATCCTGATACGATAAATTCATATTCATAACCTATTGAATTATTCTTCATATGGATAATGATAAGTTCCCACTGTCGTTAAGACGTAGCGTAAAATCAATAGGAATTTTATGAAATTCTGTAAAAATATAGATGGATGATAAAATAACACATAAAACAGTGTATAAACACACCGCAACGGTGGCTTCTCCTGGAGCAGGCATAATTGCAATTGATGAGCTGATTCAAATTCCATTTTCTTATATAGGCTTTTTTACCTAAATCTGAATGTATCCCGTCAGCTTAGTGGTTAAAATCTTCAAACTACTCAGCTGGTGAGATATTTTGTTTCAGGGTTCGATCCTATATTTTGAATCATAGAACATTTTTTTAAAAAAAAAGAAACTTCTAAAATAGATTATTTTCTTTTTTCGTCCCTAGAGGACGCCAATTCCTAAATACATTATTTTCTTTTTTCGTCCCTAGAGGACGCCATGACCCGTTGCCAAATTAAAAAAAAACTAACTTTAAATGAAAAGCAGGAGGTCTACAACTCAACCAGCAGTCTACGAACAACTCAACTCCACTCGAAACCACGCCTCCTAGTGTGATGACGTTGCCTTTGGCCCCGCCCTCTGTGATGACCACGCCCTCAGCTCCTCCTGATGCAGAACTGTCATTTTCATGCTACTTCCAGAAGTCAACGGCGGTTTTAATTGAAAAATTTCTTCTGATACAGAAGTTAAAACAACGCAGAGCAATAAAAAACTTTTTTTAATTTAAAGTAAAACCATTCATTTTTATTGTTTTCTACTATATTTCAATTATCTAAACTTGATATATCGAACGACGAATGTAGAAGTTCAATTGGTAAAATGAACACACATTGACTAACTTGAGGCAGGTCTGCCTCCAACCTTCTATTCGTTGAAAACCTGTATATCTGAGAAACGCAGTAATGCAATAAGATACGTATATTTTTAGTAGTTGCATTAAATAGGTAATTAATAGTTTAGCATCGACATTTTGATAGATCTATTAAAAGGAAATTCGAATCAAAAGTTAACATTTTCTAATCACTAATCCAGAATTTATAAATATTGAATTGAATTTTCTAACACCTTTTTTACTCGTTTCTATGGCTTTCACTAAA